TATTTATTTGGATTATGCTATTGTAGGAATTGTCTGCAGTAAATGGATTTATTTGTTTTTTTGGTTTAGGAAATGGATATGATTTCCGCAGAAAAACAAAATCGTCATTCCTAGTGAGTTAAGATTCTTGCCTAGCTCTCTTGACTTGCCGGTGGACAAGGAACGGGACTGACGATCCCCAGAATGGATATGGTGCCAGGACCAGCAGTGCAAGGAATATGAGCGAGAGCGATAGACAGAAATCCAAGTTGCTAAGTCGTGAAGTAACCCAGATAGTCATGTACCAAGCAGAGAGCACAATGCACCAAGATTCCATCCAAATCAGAGCAATACAATGAACTCGTATGCCAATGTTGACGTTATCTTGTCACACGAACACAGTATCCAATGTCGCTCCTCCTGTATGGCGGGCCTGTAAATGTTTTGGTGCTTGTGCTTGTTATTGCCGCTGCTGTCGTTGTTGTTGCTGTTCTTGTTGGTGTTGGTGTTGGTGGTGGTGGTGGTGTTGGTGCTGGTGGTGGTGGTGGTGGTGGTGCAATTGGCAACTGTCACTGCTGCTGGTGCCGCTGTGTTGGTTTTGTGTCGTTCTCGTTGCTATAGTTGGTTTTGTTGATCTTGGTGGTCTTGTTGGTTTTGCAGTTGTAGTTGTGAATGTTGCTGTGCTTGTGGTGATGGTTGCCGTTGCTGTTGTTGTTGCTGTTGATGTTGCTGTTGCTGTTGGTGGTGGTGCATTTTGCAACTGTCGTCGCTGCTGGTGCTGCTGTGTGCTGCCGGTGCTGTTGCCGTGGTTGTCGTCATCGTTGTTGTTCGTTGTTGTTGGTGGTTGCTTGTGCTGTTGCTGTCCAGCAAAATTGCCGCCAGATTTGTCGGATCTCCTTTCCAGTGTACCAGTGTCCACGTAGTGGCATCCATTGGCACTAATAACATCATGTGCGCGGTCTTCGACACCCTCCCTTAGTTTTTGTCTGCTAGCTTACCCTCTTATGATGTCAGTCATGTTGCCAATCATCCATGCCATGTGTGTGCTGGCGATGCCTGCCTCTTCTTGGCCACCCATGCTGATAGCCTGCTCCATGGTTAACTGGAAGGGGGGGCTGTTGGTCAGGGCGTGTGTTATGCGCATTGATGAGCTGACATATGTCTGTTGTTGCGGCCTTGGGTCAACTATTACTGACCATCAGTTCAGCCGAGCCTAAATGTAAGAACCAAGACCAACCCCCCCCCCCCCTGGCACGCTCTCGCGGGCCTTAAGTAGTACTCCTGCAGGGTCGCAACTACTTTGATTGAAATAGGCATTCAGTTTGGCACATATATTTTTTTTCGTGGGACAATCGAATTTTGTGCATTAAACTTTATTTTTTATTCTTCCCCCCCCCCTGATGTGTTGCCGGAAGCTAGAATTAATGTTGCCAAAGTTGGGGTACTTCCAATTTTTGACACCCCCTGGTACCTCCTTGGGTCTGCTACGTCGAAGCCTTAGTATAGTTTGTGCACCGGAAAGATACCAAAATGAGAGTTGGGCGAACTGGTGGATTAAGCTAGGGGGGGGGGGTGAACCATGTAATAGAATTATAGAACCATCCGCCCATCCAAGTCACAGGATAACAACAACAGTTAATCAACTAGGTGGGGGTGAACCATGAAATAATAGAATTATAGAACCATCCAGCTGTCCAAGTCACAGGATAAAGGCAAGAGGGGGTTCTTGTGCTTTGTTAAAGTATTTTTTGTTTCATTTGTGCACTGGTGAACGATCTTTCCTGATTTAAAGAATTTCCGGCGATGAAGAGAAGGACAGATGGTGACAACAGTTGCGTTTTGTTGCTGTCACCGTTCACATGATGTCTCAAAGGTGGATGAGCTGAAGCAACAGATCCGGAATGTCGACAAGGCTCGGATGGAGAACAAGGAGATGGCGATGAAGGAACAGAGGATGATCACGGCAGCGTTCTATGACCTGAACCTGGAATTCCAGAGGGAGAAGCACAAGACTGCTGGTCGAGCTTTCGGAGTGTGTTCTGGTAATGCGATGGTCGGTCTTTCATCCCCAAGATCTTGTCTCGCCCTTTCGGGACTAGCCGGCGGAGGCAGTCTGGGTAATGGTGGGATAAGTATGTCATCATCATTCACAGCTTCGGCAGCGGCAGGTTCTCTACTTCCGACGGCAAACAGCACAGGGCAGCTGATGCCACGGCAATTGTCCGCAAAGATGAATCACAGCCGACCACTGTATGCAACACGAGCGATGGAAAATGGAATTCTGTGCGACCGAGTCATGGATCGTACACGATTCCCAAGCCAGCAAAATGGGATTCTGTCGACACCCGTCTTGCCCATGGGTAAATGATGTGAGATCCTGCACACACACAATGATGCTGGCAATGCTGCAGAGGTGCAAAGACGCGTTGATGATTGCACAGGGGAAAATGCCATCGCTGATGGTGAAGGTACACTCGGCGATGCTCTTCAGGTTTCTAGAAGGCGGTCGCGTCTTCCCGAAGGATTTCTTTGTATGGTTCTCCTAGCTATGCTTATTGGACCGCTAAGGGTGAGGCATCGCCGATGAAGGAGGTGGAAGGTACAGGCGATTGGTTAAGCCACCAGTACATGACCGAGGCGAACTTGACAATTGAAATCGGCTCATTCCGAAAAGTTTGGAGGCTCGGGGCTACCGGACCAAAATAGCTGGCGGTGCCAGCCAAAGCGCGCTGCGCCAATGCGGCAAAGCTTGGCCTGCAAGGGCAATCAACCTCGTCTAAAAGAGGCTCGGATGTACTCGTGGTGTAAGGCTATGCCTTCCTGAAGTCTTGCTGTGTAGGGTTCTCTTAGTCATCCTTGTTGTGCGTGCAAGAGGAAGGCATGGACGAGGCGCTGGAAGGTGTGATGGTGGATGTCTACAGGGAAAGGTCGGGAGGTGCGGTTGTTGATGCTTACTGCGAGTTCAATGCGTCATCGACCATGATGGCATAATAGGTCGGCAAAACGACGACAGCAGAGTTTCTGACAAGTTGGCTACACTTGCTGAGAGTGCTTTCTGTTAACCGTCAGCAATCCTTGTCGCACCCATAACCGCGACAGGTCAAACGGCCAAACGAAAACATCAAGGCGAGGAAGTCACTCTGACTGATGACTGCATAGAGGGAAGGAAACTCCCTCCATTTAACACTGAGTACGAACGAAACGCGTATTGCACGTGTCGAGAAAGGAGTACCTTTCCTTGGCCACAACAGCTCTTTTTTGAGGTATGTGGTGCCGACCTTACCCTAAACCAAACATGGTGCGAAGAACAGACACGTTGCATTTAAATTCTTCCGGTTCCAGCTTTTGAGAGGATGCTGCCTTGTCTTCCTGGGTACTTGGTTTAGCTTTCTGAGCCATCCTGGATGCCCTGATCAGGGACGTACGTTGACTGTGAGACTGTGAAGGTGTGCGAGAAAGACAATCAGAGGATGGGGACGCCTGTGCGAGAAAGACGATCAGAGGATGGGGACGCCTTTGCACCCTGCATGTGTTTGTAATCATTGAGGTGGGCGGAACGATGTCATCAAAAAGGATGAAAGTTGATGAAACCCATCGGTGTGTGCAGGATATGATACGGTGGTCGTGCTGGTCATCGAGATACTTCATGTCAAACGAGAGAATGGGGAGTTGGTGAGGAAGCAAGAAGACTTTTTCGAGCTTTGATGGTGGTGGGTTGTCGCTGACGTCTTTGCACCCTGCGTGTATTTTTCATCGTCGAGGTGGGGAGAGAAATGACGAGGTCGTAAAGGATGAAAAACCCATCGGTGTGTGCAGGTGATGGTGCAGTGGGTAAGCATGTTGTTGATTGTATTGTTTGCATGGCGCCATATGCCGCCCGTGTGGCAAAGCCACAGGACTGCCAGCTGGCTGCAACAGGCACTTTGTGTGCCGCATGTGGCATGACCAGAGGCCCTCCCCCCTCTGGCCTGTAATATGTGCTGCTCTTGAGCTTTTAGACGATGGTAGGTTCACAACACAGCGCAGCCATTCCATCCTGCATTTGTATCCGGTCGTGGAGGTGGCGAAAACCCATCAGCGTGCGTAGGAGATGATGTGGTGGGTACTCGTGCGGATTGTGTTCTTCCCCAACATTTCGTGTGGCCCTTGTGACATCAAGTGAAAACAGTCTGCTGGATCACGATGTGTGCAACGAATCTGTGCCATGAAAGAGCAGAAAATGGGCATTTCTTACAAGATTTTGGCCTGCCGGGTGGGTGGCCCACCGCCTTCGTTCAGAAGGGATTCTGGTGCGTGCAGGTGATGATGTGATGGGTACTCGTGCGGATTGTGTTCTTGCCCAACATGTCATGTGGCCCATGTGGGGCAGCAAGAGAAAACAGCCAGCTGGATCGCGATGTGCGCAGCGAATCTGTTCCATAAAAGAGCAGAAAATGGGCGGTCCACCATTCATTCAGAGGGGATTCTGAATGATGTGGTGGGTACTCGTGCGGATTCTGGTGCGTGAAGGTGGGTGGTCCACCGTTCATTTGTTACCTGATTTAGGGTTTAGGGTGGGTGGTCCGCCGTTCATTCAGAAGGGATTCTGGTGCGTGAAGGTGATGATGTGGTGGGTACTCGTGCGGATTGTGTTCTTGCCCAACATGTCATGTGGCCCATGTGGGGCAGCAAGAGAAAACAGCCAGCTGGATTGCGGTGTGCGCAAGGAAACTTAAGCCATTAGAGAGCAGGTGGTGCGCATTTTTTACCAGATGTTGCTGGTCAGCTCGACGGAATCCATGTTTGGGCCTCTCGCCCCACGACTCACGAATTGTGCAAAACGAGAATCAATCTTCCACTAGAACATGCCCTTTGTCGTTTATGCGGCGACTGCTACTGTGCGTTTGGCGTTTATAGTTACGGTTGCAGCGACGACAATGATGATTGTTATTATGAATAAAAATGCACAATGACGACGGAGTATGTGTGGAGGATGAGGGCGGGTTCACCGCTCGTCTCTGCTCACCATTGCATCGCCTTCAGAAAGGGGAGATGATGTCAATGACGCACATCCATCAGGGTGTACTGATCCTGTTGATTTTGCCACAGGCATGATGTGGTGAGATCGCTCTTTTTGGCCTTAGTTCTGCTCGCTAATGGATTGTCGGGTGATGCCAGCATTTGATGCTGCGATTGTTTCATGCTACTGCCATATTCAGTGATGCAGTCATTTCATCAGGCGATCGTTGGAGATGGCCTCGACTCTCTCCCATAGTGGAGCTGGTCGCCGGTAAATTCTTCTTTATTGCTCTTCTTAACCTCGTTCGTGCACACACGAATCATGTACTTACTATGTTCTAGGTTAGTAGTTTCTGCACATGTCCCACTGAGTTTTTGGAACTGTCCCACTGAGTTTTTGGAACTTTTCCACTGAGTTTTTGGAACTTATATACTTTTTTATCGCTGTTCTTAACCTTGTTCGTGCATGCACGAATCATGTACTTACTACGTTCTAGGCTAGTAGTTTCTGGAACTGTCCCACTGAGTTTTTGGAACTTTTCGACTGAGTTTTCGGAACTTTTTGACTGAGTTTTTGGAACTTTCCCACTGATTTTTTGGAACTTTCCCACTGAGTTTTTGGAACTGTTCCACTGAGTTTTTGGAACTTTCCCACTGTGTTGTAATTTGTGCTCCCTTGGCCTTGGGATGTGTACGTGCGGGAGCATGATGGCTCTCTCGCTAAGTAGTTTCTGGAGCTGGACATGTCCCACTGAGTTGTAATCTGGCAACCCCTCCCCTCCTTCCGAATTTCTGCGAAATTGTTGACGACGAACCTGTTGTGAATATCGGCTTTTCGATCGATTAGTTTTGTCACTTTTGTGTTGAATGGGTTGACGGCGGTAGAGTTCTTTCTCTGCCCACATCCGCTGGAATTGTGGAACGCTCAAATCATGATGCTGACATTTGCGCGCGCTGATGGCAGCGAATAGTGAAGTAAACACACTTGATGGTGTTTGCTCTCCTTTGCTTCGGTGTGGGCGTATTGGCTTTGGGAAGACGCCGACGGTGTCTACGGCTACGGGCTGATGGCGGTGGTTAGCGCGATGAACATGGAGCGAGTGCTCTCCTTTGCTTTGCTGGGCTTATTGGCCTTGGAAGATGAAAGCGGTGTTATCGGGCCGATGGCGGTGGTTAGCGCAATGAACATGCAGTGAGTGTTCCTGCTGGTGGGTTCTAAAAGGTACGAGAACGGTCACAGTGGTGGGCGCTCGTTCTCACCGAGTCTTCACTGAGCTCAAGTTTAGAATGTCTTGAAAGCAACACGAGATCACTCCATGTCAATGGCGGTGAGATTGATGATTTCGGACTCCGACGAGATTGCTGAGGACAGGGATCGTTAAAAAAATGAATGGACAGCCAACGCTCGTGCTGATGCGTCCGCTACAACGCTGAGATTTTGTGCACGGAACGGTCTCACTGGTGCTTTCGTTCCCGTCACTGCGCTCAGGTTTGGATTGCGCTGGCGGCTGTTGACTTGCTGCGTGTTGATGGGAGGTGGGCGGTCAGATGGGCCCCTTGATTTCACTTTCCTCGGCTTTGCGGAAGTGTACTTTGAGCACGGAGTCTCTGACGTCATCAGTTTTCTTTTCTCGGAGGCTGAAAATTCGAGCTCCGGATGCTGCTGGACTGCACTCGTTGCCCTCTGTTCCGTTGTCGATGCTGACAGCGGTGCGATTGCCGCATGATGATGGCGACCAGATGGACTTCTTTGTATTGCTCTCCTGGGTTTTGCCGAAATGTACCTTGAGCGAAGAGTCGCTGACGTCAACCATTTTTTACTGCAGTCGTTGCCCTCTGGTGCCTTGTTGATGCTGACAGCGGTGCGATTGCTGCATGACCACCATGTGGCCATGGTGGTCGGATGGGCCCCTTTGTATTGCTCTCCTGGGCTCTGTTGAAATGTACCTTGACCGAGGAGTCGCTGACGTCAGCCATTTTCTTTTGACCAAGGCTGAAAAGTGTAATTCCCGACACCATTGGATTGCACTTGTTGCCCTATTTTGTTGAGTTGTCGACTTTGTGCTGCGTTCTTTTTTTTTTTTTTTTTTTTTTTTTGGGAATTTGGACCATTTCTCGATTTATGTGTGTCAGCCTTGCGCAGGGGCCCTTTTTTTTTCTTCTGTTTTCTTCACTTTTTTGGGGCAGAAGGTGGGACGCAGGGTGCGGACGCTCTCAGTTGCCTGCTGTGCTATATACTATTTCCATATTCTCCACCTTCACATACGTATATCATGTTCTGCTGCGTGTCGTCTTTGGTGTCATTTGTCCAAATTTTATAGTCTGTCGCTTTTTGTTCATCTACCCTTTCTTTTTTTTTTTTTTTTTTTGGTT